TTAATGCATCAGCATCCTCTTTTAGTCACTGAAGAAAACGTCATTATTTCAAACCCTGATAGCAACGTTTTGCAATATGCTGCTTTATACTCTAAAACTATTAATTTTCTTTTTGATCAAAACGAATTTCCTGTTTTCTAATGAAAATCATAAACAACAGCTCTGTTCGTTTATTTGTTATTTAACGGATTACAGAAAAGCTAAATGAATGGCATCATTTTCTATAGTTTATTTGCTGGCAGATAAGACTTTTATTTTGGTATTAGAACTCTCTGTTTGATAAAGCGTTGTTTTAGTGTTATTGCTATACTATTATATTATTTACTATACTATTATTTTTTGCTAATTTTTTGAATAAGAATTTATTTTTTATATCTTCTGTTTTCATTTTAATTTCAGTTAAAGTTTTAGTAATTTGGTTGTGTGATTTTGGTTTTTGTGGGGTTTTAGATTTAATTTATTTAATTTTAGTTATTTTAGTGCTTAGACTAATCAAAAATAAGAAACGTTGCCTTGGAAACTAGTTTAAATTAAATAAGTTTAAAATAAGTTATTTCATTGAATTTTATGCAATTTTGTGCTACTTCAGTTTTAGGTTTTATTTAATTTAGTTTCAGTTAGTAATTGCGGTTTTAGTTTTAGTTAACAATATTAACTACCCACATGATGTGAAGATGTCTGGGCAAATTTACATGTTTACTGTTTAGATGTATCATCTGTACAACACATTTTTGAAAACAATGAGAGCCTTTCATAAATGACAGAACAAGACGACAAAAAATGAAGAACACACACATCGACGCATACTAATTTATCTTAACAGTTACACAATGACTGCTGACATACATATAGTACAAAGCAGTCGACTGTTTTTGGCACAAATGGAACCTCATACTCACTAGGGTTACATATAAATAAAGAATCTATTGTTTTTGGCACAAATGAAACCTCATACTCACTAGGGTTACATATAAATAAAGAATCTATTGTTTTTGGCACAAATGAAACCTCATACTCACTAGGGTTACATATAAATAAAGAATATATTGTTACAGAGCAAAAAAGAGAGAGAATAGAGAAATCAGGTCATGTCATTGTGTTCTCACCTGTCTACAAACATGATAACCATGTTTTGTTTGTCTTTGTGTTTCTCTAGTTCTTTCTTCAACCATCGAACCTTCTGACCTCCGCCGACGGTCCGCGCCACATCACCACCCTTCCACTCCTCACCCAGCCCCAGAACCTACATAAAGCACACATTTGCACACGGATACTGGAAATGGATGTCATATTAACTACAGAAACGTCAGATTTGAAGGCAAACAGCAGACGTGACACCTGAACGGTGTAGTTGAACTGTCGGATGGTGCGCATGAACCTCAGGTAGCCATCGTTCACTTCTGTCGCGGCGGTGATCACCAACAGCTCATCTGAACACAGACAGAACAGACTGTGTTTTATAAAACATCACTGACTTCCCTGCTACTCAATCTGAGTTGGATATTTATAATGGTTTGAGATCTACAGTAAAGGGTGGATGATATATTTTAACCCTTCTGTTGTGTTGGGGATTCAGTGTGACCGACACTCGTTTATTAAACTTCTTGAAATACTGGTTAAACTATTTATTTCTTCTTGAAATTTGGTGAATATTTTTCATTTATGGTCATGAATGTGCATGCAAAATTTCGGCACATGGATGTTTTCTGGAAAGGCTGTGCAAATATTGTTACAACTTATGTTGGGGCAAATTGACCCACATACATATTTTCAAACTGCTCAAAATACTAGTTAAACTGATTATTTCCTTTTGAAATTTGGTGGATATTTTTCATTTATGGTCATGAATGTTCATGCAAAGTTTCGGCACATGGATGTGTTCTGGAAAGGCTGTTTCGAATTTTGTTTTTATATTGGGGTCAATTTGAGCCACACTCAATTTTCAAACTGCTTGAAATACCGGTTAAACTATTTATTTCTTCTTGAAATTTGGTGAAGATTTCTCATTTATGGTCATGAATGTGCATGCAAAGTTTCAGCACATGGATGTGTTCTGGAAAGGCTGTGCAAATATTGTTACAACTTATGTTGGGGCAAATTGACCCACATACATATTTTCAAACTGCTCGAGATACTAGTTAAACTGATTACTTTCTTTTGAAATTTGGTGTATGTTTTTCATTTATCATTATGAATGTGCATGCAAAGTTTCGACACATAGACTTGTTTTGAAAAGGCTGTACAAAAATTGGTAGGACTTCTGGGTTGGGGTCAAACTGACCCCCGTTAGTTTCCATGCAATTTGCCAAAACTCAACCCTTGAAAAACATTAAAGAGTTGTGTAAAAAAAAAAATATATATATATTGTAGCTTGTCAAAGACTAACATATGAATTACATGAGAACTTCAAGACTCAAATATTAAGAAAAATTCAGTTTCTTCCTCTATTTGAGCTTCACAGTCAAAAGATCCGTCAAACATTATTTCTGGTTGTTAGTGTTTTGGATCTCAGTTATTAGTCTGTTGCAAGAGTTTGAGAAAAAGAGAACAAAAAGGCACAAATAGCAATGAACACTACTTACACTCACTACAAATAGCGTGAAATACCAATTTTACTTGTAGTTATTTGCTCCTAAGTGTGAAAATTGTCACTACAAATAGTCATTTTTTAATTATTTTGTATGTGTGGCAATTTTGAACAAAAATATATGGGTCAGACTGACCTCGAACACAATAAAATAGATGGGAATCATTACATTTCTCACATTTTTTAATATTCTTAGTCTCTGACAACAGAGGTTTTCTGTTTTTACACAGATCTTTAGTGTTTTTCACAGCCTATATTTTTGGCAAATTACATCAAAACCAATGTGGGTCAATCTGACCCCAAACACAGAATCTGAACCCAGTTTTTCAACACAACAGGAGGGTTTAATCCAATAATGATTGGAAGAGGGAATGAACAATTATTTTACAAACACGTACCCACAAATCTGCAGAGAAGACCTGAAAATAAATGTATTTATTATATTGAGATGATTGTTCGATTTTGGAACTGACACAAGGGGTTAATCAGTTCACTCAATGCTAAGCATCTCAAAATGGCCAAATATTAGTCGATATCTGATAAAAGACACCAATGTTCAATAATGATATTGTTTATTAATGAAATCTACTGACGTCATTTATTTGTATAGAACATTGTATCTAATTCCTTAAACACAGTAAGTCAAAGATAACCAACACAAAACCAAATCAATAATCTGCATGATATAGTACATGGAACCGTAGTATGTTTACGGTTGATAATAATAATAATGTGAAGTCCACCAGAAACCCAAACCCAGGTTCTTCAGCAGAAGCTTCTAAAAGACCTTGTTTACTCTTTTTATTCAGTATTTTAAAACAGTTCATACAGGTTTATTTTGGTTTTCTGTAACGTTTTGAGTTCCTCTTTACAAATTTACCACGGTAAACACAGTTTCTGGGTCAGAACACCACACGTACTAGTAATGAATCATAGTAGATTATTTACACCTTCCTGTCATTTTTGATTAATTTCTTTGATGACACATGGGCTAATATCGATTCACCACAACTTTACTATAGAAGTGTGGTATTGGATCGAAACAATGGAGACCATAAGGTTCCGATCTGGTTTTGTTTTGTTGACGCCGAGACTGAGATTCGGATCCGACTGGACATTTAAACGCAGTACGTGACGGAAATGATGATTTAACGGTTCTTACTGGGTTTCCCGGGCCGCGGGTCGGTTCGGCAGAGCTGAACAGAGCCCAGAATCAGGGTCAGGATCAGGCGCACAAAAGTCATCTCGCTCGGGTTCGGGTTCGGGTTCGCCGTCGCTCCAGCGCAGAACTCTCTCGAAGTTCGCGGACGCAGGGAAGGAATTCTACTGTCTACTTGAAGAAACCGCCTCGTTTCCGCTCGGTCAGCCAATGACCGCGTGGCAGAAAGTGACGGACAGGGATGCAGCCAATAGGAAGAGCGAACGCGACGGCGTTCGACCAATCAGAGTTAGGAACGCAATTCCTCTAAAAATCAGCCCTTGGGCTACAGAAAGCATGATTGAGGGAGGAGTGCCACGTTTTAGGAATAACGTAACGGGTGTGTATATAAGGTTTCTAAAAATATATACAGTATGTAAATGCTATATACCAGTCATAAACATTAATAAATATAATGTCTCTCTATATGATTTGTTCTTATATTTTATTAATTATTTATACATTTAAAAAATATAAACATGCATTTGATTTTGAAAAATAAAAATAAAAAAGTAAATGCATGAAAACGACTGATTTAGTGAGTAACCCAAGCAGCTGGGTTAGTTTAACCGGACATGTGGTAACTAATAGTCACTGAGCACTGGTGGCAATGCCATAAATACAAGCTGGTGCTGACAAACAGTACAGACACTGTGAAGCCTTTTACAACCAAACCCTTCCTTCTAATTTCTAATGCTATCTTCTGTTAAAAATATATATTCTGTTTTAAAATGTGCTGAAAATGTGCTCTCCCTCAGGCCATTCAAGATATACTTGTAATGTTTTTAAAGAAGTCTCTTCTGCTCATCAAGGCTGCATTTATTTGATCAGAAATACGGAAGAAAAAAAAAAAGAGTAATATTGTGAAATATTATTGCAATTTAAAATACTGGTTTTCTATTTTTATATACTTTAAACTGTAATATATGTTTGAACAGCAGTGTGAGTTTGTTTGTTCATGGGAACAGAAGCCTCAGCCATGGATGCTCTGCAGTGAATGGGTGCCGTCAGAATGAGAGCCCAAACAGCTGATAAAAACATCACAATAATCCAATAAAAAGTCCATCTCCTGTTGTCTTGCTGAGACAGTGATTGTATCTCATTATCATATTCTGACATACAATGAAAAAGATCATTCAGAGAAACATAAAAACAGTTGGCATCATGAGTTTAATGCTGAACACAAGAAAAATTTCCCAACTAAACACACACACA